ATGCAAATAAGTCTTGCTGTAGCATTCAGGAAATCAGCCTCTATCGTCACTAATCAATCAATTCATATATCTTAAATGATACGGTAAACAGTAGAAGTCATCTGTTTCCTGTTTTGAATATTCGAGTCAATCAAAAGCCTTAGAAAACTTATTTGTGCACATCTCATAAAGAGAAAAAAACGATCTGGATGTAGGTATGAGTCTTGTCGAAATCCATACTACTCACACCCATACTCACACTTTTCGAAAGAAATTCTTATAGAATATTGAATATTTTCATAAACAACAATAAATCAATACTTAGAACAATTTAATTTAAAATTTTTATCAGTAAATAATAAGAGAGAATGCCAAATGTCATAGTTATTTTTCGTCATTTTTTTATTATTTTTTTGCTTTTGAAGACTCATAAAAATAAAATCCTGATTAATGGTTTGCATTTGAGAAAAACAGAATAAATTTCTGTCTGACAATATAGTAGTAAATAATAATTATTGGAAATAAAAGAAAATAAAATTAAGTCTATGATAATAAAAATTATTTAAGTCTAATGACGTGGTAAACCGTGTTTTTTAACCATTTCTGACACTTTGTGATCGAATACAGCTCTGTTTGATAAATATTCTGTAGCAATGTCTAATAACAAAAAAAAAACAAATTATTTTTAAACAAGAAACATAAACAAAATTTACCTTGATTAAGTACATGATCGCTATCTGGTTTATCAATACGATCAACAACAGCATTAACAATATCAACTAATGTTGTTGTTGGTTTGTATGAGCCTGATGAACCAAACATTTCAATACATACTTTACCATCGTCGCTAACATTTGGATGATAAATAGGTGTAGTAAAACGAACTCCTGGTGCTTTGTGTGGATATTCAGCTGGTAATTTTAATTCTATTTGAAATGCAGCTTGATTATAAATTTCTGATTGCGGGCAAATTCTTCCAAGAATTATATTTGTTCCTGGATTATTAACAGGTGATTGATCAAGAAGAAATTTAACAGATGATGGATCATTATTTTCTGCTAAGGCTCGTAATTTTTCTATTTCAACTATTATACGTTTACTTACTCCTGATGTTGTCATTTTGAGTTTCTTTTTTCTAAACAAAAAATTGAAATATCTACTAATAAGCGTCTCTCATTTTTTTTTTCAGTTCTATTTTTTTTGTACTATAAGTTTTAAAAGAGTTCGTCATTCTCAAGATTCAATTTAGTGTTTCATCACAAAAAATGATTTATTGAAATATTATAAAATGATTGTGCAATGAATTTTTAGAAAAAAACAAAAACACAGTTGTTTTTAAAAACAACACATCATAAGAAACTTGCTTTTTTTCTATGTAAGATGGAAGAAAGGAGAATTCGATTAACCGGGGTGTGAGTGTGGTGTGGTTGCTGATCTTTATCCTCAGAATCATTTCTTAATTCACACTCATATCGCACACATGACCCATTCTGTTGGGAAATATGTGCAAAGCTCTAGTTTCAGAAGTCAACATTCTTTGAATAATGCGTTAACTGGAAGTTGTTTAAAATTTATGTTCACGATATATTTTTTCAAGATGCCGAGAGACTCTCAAGTTTAATCATTTTTTTTGTCTTCCTTAATTCAGGTTTTTCACATGTGCAACTGGGATTTAATAACAGTTTAAAGCCTCTTCATTACTCCCGTCGATTCCATAACATGTGTTAGCAAGGTATTGACAAATAGTTTGTCGATGAGTTAGATACGCTTTCACCATCATTTAGAAGGTCAAACTGTAGATATCAAAGCCTGTATTAGTTGTTGAGACATTTTTTTTTCATGCTCTATATTTTGAACTGTGAGAAGGCAAATTAATCCTGTATGATCATCCTTTGTCACCTGTTTTTTTCATATCTAGTGGATCATTTGTACTTTTCTTAATGTCTAATATTCTTTTCTCATACATACCTTACAGGTCTCCGACACATAGTTCATCTTGTAAACCATTTGTATTAATTTAAAGAATGAACACATATCTTTCAGGTGGTATGAACACGTTTAGAAAATTTTTTATATTAACGAAGCCAAACACATCACTGATTGGCACTCTCGACTGTGATTTGCCCAAAAAAAAACATTCGAGCAATTTAGTTTCCGAAAATACTATATGATATTTTTAGTCTATAACTCCTTCAATGTCTTGTATTTATCCGAAATTGCAATTCTGAACTAATTACATCCAACGGTGTTCCATCAATATTTATTTTGATATATCATGGAATAGGAGAATCATAGCTTCGACAGTTTGGGCTACCAGAAATCTTCATTCATTAAGGGTCATCTAGTGAGCATTCATCTCTTAAGAAGAATTAGAATTACTCAACTTTTGCCTGCAGTCAAGTCAAAGCTGGCAGTTTTGAGGAATTTATTTGGAACTTTGTATGCATGAATAAAACCTAACGTAAGAAATCACACGTATCATCTGACAAAGCTATTATTTAATTCGCAAAAGATAGACATCATCATTCGTCTTTTGAATTAGACCTCGAATATTTACAAAAACTCCCGAAAATATATTGTTTTATAGCGATCATTTGGGAGTTTTATTAATGAATTTGCTTAGAAAAGCATGGAAATGGAGAATCTTTTAGTAATTCGATTTGTTGCGAGTTGCACTATTCGAAATTTCAAAATCAGATATGCATAATGTCTCTTTGGACATTATATGATTCTTACTATCATCATGACAGAAACATCTTTTTTCGCAGCATTGATAGCAGAAAACTGCTTACAAAGACTTGAGAAAATACCTAGTTTTGAAAAATCATTACTCTTTTGGAAGAAGAAATTGGCATATTACAAGATCGACTAGTTCTCTTTACAGATGAAACTTGTTTTCAAATAATGAGGCCTAAAATTCTCCATCTTTGCCTTGTATTCCTGCTCCAGTGATGTTCATTAAAAATAAAAAGCAATGTAACTAATATTCATTTCAAATAAAAAGAAAAGTAAGCATTTTTGAAATAATTCTGGATATGAACTAGATAGAGATCGGCGATTTTCGCCATTTAAAAGAGGAAACAAAACTGCGTCGAATCTTGAATACTAGACTTTTCTGGCAAGTTTTCTCAAGTCAGACTCGTTAACTAAAATTCAATAATCTGTATAAGTTCACTGTGAAAATGTTTACCGAATCAGAAGTCATAAACAGTTTATTATGCGTTTTCAGTAGATTTTTTAAGAAAAATAGGCTTTTCTTTTGAGCTTTCGACGAAAAATCCACCTTCTAAACCTATAAAAAAAAGCATCGATTTTGTAAAAAAAAACTTGACAAGTGGTTTTGAGAAAACTTGTCTGAAAAGCACAGTATTCAACAATCGTCGCAATTGCATTTCTTCCTTTACACGATGAAAACCACAGATCTTTATCCAGTTCCTATCAAAAATTATTCCAAAAATACTCACCCTTCTTTGCATTTGAAATGGATATCAGTAAAACAGTATATTTCATAATAAAAATCTTCGGATTCTAAAGATTGCGTTACCTATCGCTCAAGATTACTAAAAAATATCGTGCATTTCGCTGAAGAATAATCTATATACTCGAACTTGAATACATATAATTGAACTTTATGAGCATGTGTGTATGTATATATGTATGTCTAACGTCTAATGTGTATTACTTTACATATTTAAATGATATAATACTATTTTTTCTTGTAGATTGACTAGCCAACCACTACTCTTTCTATTCTGACTTATTTTTCGTGCAGATGAGATCCATCTTTCAGTTATTTTTATGCTTGGGACTATTCATATTGGTAGCAACGACTATCGTTGTTCAGCTACTTATTCGTATTCGACACAAGAAGCATTCATTGACTCTATCAAGTAAGATCTACAATGTTGAATTTTGTTTCCCAAATGTAAAATATATGATGGTTCAAAATTGAACATTCTTTTGTATAATGTATCAATCATTTTTTGGCTCGTCTGACAAAATCGTGAGGCTACCAGAACTTATTTTTTCGTGATTCATTTACTTATTGAGTATTTATTAATTATCATGATACTTTAACACACTCACACCTTTATCCTCACCCAAATCCTGATCGATTGTTTGTTATTCACGTAACTAATGAAAAATCTATTACCAGTTATCGACTTCCAAATAACTGATATCTTAGCAGCTATCAATTGTTTTGTTATTTTCTGCTAGGATGTTTTCCTTCGGACACAATGGTCATTAGTTACTGTCATCAATCAGCTACTTGACCAAGAAACGAAAACTGTACACGTTGCCAGTTATTTTGCAACGCAAGTGTAACTATCCTCATCCCACCCTTACAGCGACGCCTATGGAAATAAGAATACTATATAAAATTCGATCATTTTAATTATTACTTACAGCTCTTGTCGTCCCTCCTCAAGGGGAAAACAGCAAAATCCGGGTCTCCGAAGGACTTCGATGGACTCCGCTTATCTCTCGAATTCTGGAGTTCATACTATTGTAAAATCTGCTCCATTGGGCCCTCCATGTGTACTATAGGAAATACCCTTGGATCCTCCAGGAGTACTATACGAGAGTACCCTTGAGTCCTCCAGGAGTACTATACGGGGTACTCTTGGGTCTTTCATGGGTGTCATAGTGGAATACCCTTAGGTCCTCAAGGGCTGTGAGAGGGGGTATACCCTTGGGTAGAGAGCTGCGGACCTGAAAATTTTGCTTTTTGCGGGCCCGGGTCTATATCTAAATTTAACTTCAGACCCGATCTACATTAAGTTACGAATCGAAATATATAACAATTGAAGTCAACGAATATTGCTTTCTTTCTTATTTTTCAAGGTTTCTCGTTTCTTTTTATCTCTATAATGAACAAAAGTCATTTCAAATGCCAAAAATAAAATCAAGTTGAAAAAACAAATGGACAATTGAAAACAAATAATCAACACGCCAATAACATCTGTCCATTACTCTTACATATTACTATGTATTAATACAGAAAAATTAATCTTTCGTTATTATTCTTGTTCGTCGACGCTCTCACTATGTTCGTTAATGATTTTCTCATCACTAAATTGATTATTATCAAACGTTCGAGTTCGAGCTGTTTTTGTTGTTGATGAAGAAAAAAATAATTCTTCTTCGTCACCATCGTTGGCATCGACGTTGTTCGAGTTTGTTGGTGACAAAGCCAATAACATTTGATCTAGTTTTCGTTTTTCATGCATGAATAACAATTTTTGACGATCAAATTCTTTTAATGTCACTAGATTTTTATTAAGAAAAAGTAATTTATTCACCTTTTCGCCATCTAAGTTTGTTCGTCGATCAGAAATAGTATTACCAGCTGTAGAAAACAAACGCTCGACTGTAGTATTAGAAACTGGAATATTATAAATAGTTTTTACTATTGAAGCGGGAGTTGGAAATGTATTCTGATGTTTTTTCCAAAACAATAAGACATCACCAATAGGTCCCACTGTAATATTTGAAGACAAATACTGTGTTAATTCCTCCTCTGGTGATGGAACTAATACTAGATCTTCATCTTCAGCACGATGATAAAAGCATTCTAAAAGAATATTTTGTGTTGTTGGTGTAAGTTGTTGTGATTTTGATGTTGTTGAAGACTTTGTTGAAGAACAAGGCGTTATATTCATAATTGATGATCCAGAATATGTAGATGATTGACATTTTAACAATTCAGCTTTAATTAAATCTACAGCTTTAGATTTTTCATGAGGAGCGATTTGAAGTTGTTTTAAAGATGGGTGAAGCAAACATGAAATATAGTGAACGTCCTGCAAAACCCATACAGTTGTAAGATGTCGAGCTGCAATGAAATAAAAGAATAAAACAATAGATTACATAACTGATTGTATGTCGGTAGTCTGAGCGTAATAAAAGCTTTATCATCATTTTCTCCTTGTTCATTCATATAAAAACAGTAGTTGGGAATTAAAAAAATAAAGCGGATAGCTTACATAAGAAAACCCTCATTTCTTCTAAGCCATCACAATCGTTCGGTGCTACTTCGTATTCGTTAAGTAATCGTTGACGAAGTGGAAGAACTATATAGATTTTTGGTCGTTTATCATCACTAAGTTGTTCGATTACGTCATCGAACACTTTCAGAAATGAACATAATTGTTCTAAAAACTCTTTATCCAACAACAAATATTCGTTTAAATTTATACTATCAAGAACAAGGCCTAATTCATTAAAAATATCCAAAAATACTTGTAACATCTGTTAAGCACCATTAAATCTCGTTTCGGAGTACGTTTGTACTCTTTTCGATATCTTGGTCTGTTTATGATACCTTCACACATAAGAAACTATTTTCTTTACACGTTCAAATAATACTTGAGCAAGATCACATTGTACACGTGATTCATCAATTTCTTTTTTTAGTAAACGTATGTTCAAGCTGTTTGTTTATGAAATGACATGAACAACCAATACGCTGACAGTTTAATTTGAATGTTGAAAGCATCTTTGGTTCGTTATCGGCAACAATGTAAACATTTTCATTTAACTCTAATCTATAGTCAGATAGTTTTGATTCAACAAATTTTCTTGTATTAATTGAACTATTTGATTCAAGATCATAATGGTAGCATTCCAATACAAAACAATATAATTTCCAGTCATCACTTATGTGATATAACGAAATTCCACAAAATTGAGTACCTTAAAGGACAAAAGAAATAGTATCAGAGGTGTGTGAAACGTTATTCCAACGAACTCGTATGGATATCCTTCCAAAAATCAACAACAACAGTGTATTCACGCATTTTCTCACAAATTGAAATTAATTGCTGATGCTTTTGATTATATAATTTACTAACATGACGGCTGACTTAGGAAAGAGAAGAAAATCATCTTGCTGCGATTAGAATAGATTAAAAAAAGTTTTTCTTACTGTTGTTGGATGTGATAGTAGTTTTTCAACATTAATTTCTTTAGATATAGATAAGTATTTGCCGGCATCGAAAATTTTTTTGTGCAAGATTTTTGAAGCCTATTCCATAATGTGTTTTAAATGATCGAGAATCAAGTGCTGCAAATTCAACACAAGCAACTTTGATTTCCTGCTTTATTCAAGCTGGAATAGCAGGTGCATTTTTTGAAGATGCATAAAATGGATCTGATATTTGTCTGATCATGAGAAACTGTGGTTTTGACCTTTTGGCAGCTATTAATATGTTTAGGTAAAGAATTAATACCAGAATATGATTTATAAATAAGTAAATCTTTACATTGATGGCAAATAACACATTCCTGTTGGATATCGTTAACATAAATACGACTAAAACTATTCCATACAACTGAAAATTTTGGTGTTACTGTTGGTTTCCCTAGTGGAGAATCGCTGGAGAGTCCCACACTCACCCTCGGTCCCTAGTGGAATTCCTGTCATGATTCTCCAGGGACATCGAGGGGATTTTATAAAGAGATTTTACTAGGGGTGGATATTATGATAAGAACGTCGTGTACGATCGTTTGCAGTCGTCGTAAGTCTCATGGTATATTCCTGGGGAGTCACTAGCAAATCCCTAGAAAGTCCCACATAAATCCCTGGGGACTTTTTGACTCCCTCGTAAATCGGTAGGGAATCCCTGTCGAGATTTCCCAGGGATTCGTTTAGGGATTCTCGACTAGGGTTGACAATTCTCAATGACGAATTTTTTTTATCAATTAATTGCTTAATTTCTTTTTTCGTTAACATAGTTTGCTTTTCAATAATCGAAAAGTTTCAATTTAATGACCATTTACTAGTGAAAAAATGAACAACAAGAAATAACTGTACATTCACTTTATTTTTGAAATGGCCAATGAAGAGGTAAAACATTGCACCTTTATCTGTTTATGTACACAGAGGGTGCCAGATATTGGTGAGAAAAAGATCGGGTCTAGACCCGATCAGGTCTGGGTCCAAAAAAACATGGATCCGCAGCTCTCAATCTGACAATCATTAATAAATTAATATTTTTTGACGTTTGAAACAATGCCTATCAAATGTTCAAATAAATTGAAATTTCTAATTATTTCATGATTTTATAGAATATTGTTTTGAAGAGTCTCAAAATACCCATTCAATTGACTATAAAGTTTATAGAAAATATAGAATCAGGTGCAGATCAAACGTTTTGACGTTTCACAGAAATTGATTTTTTTTTTGAAAAGTATTTAGCAATAAGATTCAAAACAAAACTTTAACTTAAAAAAATATTGTATTAAAATGAACAATTATTTTCTTCAAAACATACAATAAATTTTCGATTGTAACTCATTCACTAGTAAACACAGAACATAAACAATTGAAAACAACCGTTCCTACATAAAAACAAAATATTTTCGTCATTATTTAGGTTTTTTCAGTAAGTCGACGAATATTGTTCTCGGTTCTCTGTCGACTTGGATTGTCAATAGGAAGAAGCTTCTCATAAATAGCCAATGCACGCTGATAATAATCAAGTGCTATGGTTTGCTTGTTTTGATTTTCATAACAATTGCCAATACTATTCAAACTGAAAGCAGTATCAACATGACCAGATGGATAAAATTTTTCTCGAATTTTCAATGCTCGCTGATGATAATCAAGAGCTTCATTGTACTTTCCTTGCAATTTAAGAATGAGACCAATGTTGTTAAGGCTTTGAGCAATATCGATATGATCAGATGAATAAACTTTCTCTCTCATTTTCAACGCTTGTTGATGATAATCGAGAGCCTCATCAAGCTTTCCTTGGTTATTGAGAATAGCACCTATATTGTTAAAGCTATGAGCAATATCAGCATGATCAGATGGATAAAATTTCTTTTGAATCTCCAATGCTTGTTGATAATAATTGAGAGCTTCATTGAACTTTTCTTGGTCCTTATGAATGTTACCAATCCAGATAATGCTCGTAGCTATAGCGGCATTACCAGATGGACAAAGCTTTTCTTGAATAGTCCGTGCTTGTTGAAAATACTCGAGAGCTTCATCGTACTTTTCCTGTAGATAGAGAATAATACCAATGTTGTTCAGACTATCAGCAACTTGAGTATGACCAATTGGATAAAATGTCTCACGAATTTTCAATGCTCGTCGATGATAGTCGAGAGCTTCATCGTACTTTCCTTGTCGATAGAGAATGTTACCGATATTGTTGAGTACATGAGCAGAATCTTTGATTCGTACTGGTTCATTTTTCATCATTTGATCATACGCACTATCATAATATTTTCGAGCTTCATTCCATTCACCTTTAAAATCAAGAGCTCGACCAAGATTAAATTCAATCCAAGCACGATCTTCATCATTGGAATCATTTAATAGTTGTTGAAAATATTCTTGAGATCTATCATATTTACCTAAATTACACAATAATCTTCCAAAAACAATTGAAACACTTAGTTCTTCTGTTTCTTGTTGTGTTAATTCAATAAAGTCTTTAGTAATTTTTTGTCCTTGATTTGAAAGTTTCATTTTAATTATTTTTAATAAATCATTTTCTTCAATAGATATAATTTTAAAACAAGTATTTAAATCAAATAAAATTTCTTCTTCATCTGGATGATCACTAAATGGAACAATATCAGCAAAAACAATATTTTTATCAATTGTTTTTAAATCACATTCAATATGAAAAAGAACAGGAATAACATCTATTCTTTTTGTTGATTTTAATGCAAAATGTAATGCTAATGGTTTTTTTCGACTTGTTGATACATATCCATTTAATGAAATAAGTTTTCCTTTATTTTCTTTTATTTTATTAAATTCTTCTTTAGCCATTTTAACTCCTCGATAAACTGTTAAGATTTTTTCTTCTGATAATAAAATTTTTTCATGTTCACATCGAAGATTTTCAGATAGATCAGCAATAAAAAATCGAAATGCATATAATAAATCAATATCTTCAATTCTTAATGCTTTATTAATTAATTTATAAATAAATGATTGTTTTGAATACCAACGAATTGCATCTGTTGATTGATAATTTTGTTCAAAATCATAAATTAATTTCATTTGTTTTCTATTTCCACGATAGTATTGTTTACACATTTGAATCATATGTTGTTTTGCATTTTGAGTTTTTGGAAGACGAATAATAACATACCTAAATAATTGAAACCAAAGAAAATGTGCTGATTCTTTTGATAAATCTTTAGTTGATTTTTCATATCGATCAAAAAATGAACATGTTTGTATATGTTTTTGAATAAAATCAATTTGTTCTTTAATTGAATTACATAAATCATTTAAATGAACATAAATTCCAATAATATTTGAATATTCATTTAATAAATGTTCATGTCGATCTTTATTCATACAAAAAATAAAAATTGAATCAATTTGACGAAAAGCAGATATAATAGGTAAAATTTTTGATGCTGTTGATCCTGTTGTAATGAAAAAAATTGTTTCTTGATGAATTAATTGTATTAAACCCATACATTGTTCAATATCACTACAATAAATAATATAATCATTTATACGACGAATTTGTTCTCTTGTTGTTTCAGCATCTTCATATAAACCAATATATGGATCAAACCAAATAATTGTTACACTTTCTTTATTTTCTTTATTTGTTGGAATTAAATATTGATTAAATGAAGAATTATTTGTTGTTTTTTTATTTGATCTTGAATTTTTTGCCATTATTATTTTTAAGTAGTAAAAGTTTGAGTTCAAAGTAAGAAAAAATATAATCTAAACTGATGAAATATTGAAATGAATAAATATTTTCTTCAATCAAAATCACAAGTATTAGTTATTTCTTTTTCTTCTAATTAAATTAAAATATTGATTTTTGGTTTTTATTTTCGTTTTAGATGTATTAGAACTTAGTGAAACTTTTGTTTTGTCATTTTACTATTCATAAAGGTTTTTTCTATTTTTAAGATGCCGATAATTCAAACTTTGAGCAAAGTTATTAGTGACTTTTTTTTTATCATACTCGTCTGGTTTATTCTAAAGATATTGTTTATAATATATTCAAACATTGTTTTGATAGCAAAACTAAGGAAAATGTTTTGTAAAAAGTAGGCGTTTTGTTTTTATTTTTTGACCTACAGTCATAAAGGTTAAATATAGGAGATTCCTATTACGAAATTTTGATCATATTAACTTTTGTTTTAAATGACTTCAATATAGATATTTTTTACTAATTCTAAGTATTAGGTTTCTTGCCTTTATTCGAAGAATGAACAGGTATCGAGCAGCTACAACGACCAAATATTTGTATATTAAC